TGCCACAGTGACATCACCGAGGGCCACTTCACGCTATCAAGTCAGTCCGTCTAGCAACAGTCGCCCCAATGACATCACAGGGGGCCACTTCCCCCTATCAAGTCGGTCCGTCTAGCAACAGTCGCCCCAGTGACATCACCGAGGGCCACTTCACCCTATCAAGTCAGTCCGTCTAGCAACAGTCGCCCCAATGACATCACCGAGGGCCACTTCACCCTATCAAGTCAGTCCGTCTAACAACAGTCGCCCCAGTGACATCACAGGGGGCCACTTCCCCCTATCAAGTCGGTCCGTCTAGCAACAGTCGCCCCAGTGACATCACCGAGGGCCACTTCACCCTATCAAGTCAGTCCGTCTAGCAACAGTCGCCCCAATGACATCACCGAGGGCCACTTCACCCTATCAAGTCAGTCCGTCTAGCAACAGTCGCCCCAGTGACATCACAGGGGGCCACTTCCCCCTATCAAGTCAGTCCGTCTAGCAACAGTCGCCCCAGTGACATCACAGGGGGCCACTTCCCCCTATCAAGTCGGTCCGTCTAGCAACAGTCGCCCCAATGACATCACCGAGGGCCACTTCACCCTATCAAGTCAGTCCGTCTAACAACAGTCGCCCCAATGACATCACAGGGGGCCACTTCCCCCTATCAAGTCGGTCCGTCTAGCAACAATTGCCCCAGTGACATCACAGAGGGCCACTTCACCCTATCAAGTCGGTCCGTCTAGCAACAGTCGCCCCAGTGACATCACCGAGGGCCACTTCACCCTATCAAGTCAGTCGGTCTAGCAACAGTCGCCCCAGTGACATCACAGGGGGCCACTTCCCCCTATCAAGTCGGTCCGTCTAGCAACAATTGCCACAGTGACATCACCGAGGGCCACTTCACGCTATCAAGTCAGTCCGTCTAGCAACAGTCACCCCAATGACATCACAGGGGGCCGCTTCCACCTATCAAGTCAGTCCGTCTAGCAACAGTCGCCCCAGTGACATCACAGAGGACCACTTCACCCTATCAAGTCAGTCCGTCTAGCAACAGTCGCCCCAGTGACATCACCGAGGGCCACTTCACCCTATCAAGTCAGTCCGTCTAACAACAGTCGCCCCAATGACATCACAGGGGGCCACTTCCCCCTATCAAGTCGGTCCGTCTAGCAACAGTCGCCCCAGTGACATCACAGGGGGCCACTTCCCCCTATCAAGTCAGTCCGTCTAGCAACAGTCGCCCCAGTGACATCACAGGGGGCCACTTCCCCCTATCAAGTCGGTCCGTCTAGCAACAGTCACCCCAGTGACATCACCGAGGGCCACTTCACCCTATCAAGTCAGTCCGTCTAGCAACAGTCGCCCCAATGACATCACCGAGGGCCACTTCCCCCTATCAAGTCAGTCCGTCTAGCAACAGTCGCCCCAGTGACATCACAGGGGGCCACTTCCCCCTATCAAGTCGGTCCGTCTAGCAACAGTCGCCCCAGTGACATCACCGAGGGCCACTTCACCCTATCAAGTCGGTCCGTCTAGCAACAGTCGCCCCAGTGACATCACAGAGGGCCACTTCACCCTATCAAGTCAGTCCGTCTAGCAACAGTCGCCCCAATGACATCACCGAGGGCCACTTCACCCTATCAAGTCAGTCCGTCTAGCAACAGTCGCCCCAGTGACATCACAGGGGGCCACTTCCCCCTATCAAGTCGGTCCGTCTAGCAACAGTCGCCCCAGTGACATCACCGAGGGCCACTTCACCCTATCAAGTCAGTCCGTCTAGCAACAGTCGCCCCAATGACATCACCGAGGGCCACTTCCCCCTATCAAGTCAGTCCGTCTAGCAACAGTCGCCCCAGTGACATCACAGGGGGCCACTTCCCCCTATCAAGTCGGTCCGTCTAGCAACAGTCGCCCCAGTGACATCACAGGGGGCCACTTCCCCCTATCAAGTCAGTCCGTCTAGCAACAGTCGCCCCAGTGACATCACAGGGGGCCACTTCCCCCTATCAAGTCGGTCCGTCTAGCAACAGTCGCCCCAGTGACATCACCGAGGGCCACTTCACCCTATCAAGTCAGTCCGTCTAGCAACAATCGCCCCAATGACATCACAGGGGGCCACTTCCCCCTATCAAGTCAGTCCGTCTAGCAACAGTCGCCCCAGTGACATCACCGAGGGCCACTTCACCCTATCAAGTCAGTCCGTCTAGCAACAGTCGCCCCAATGACATCACAGGGGGCCACTTCCCCCTATCAAGTCAGTCCGTCTAGCAACAGTCGCCCCAGTGACATCACAGGGGGCCACTTCCCCCTATCAAGTCGGTCCGTCTAGCAACAGTCGCCCCAGTGACATCACCGAGGGCCACTTCACCCTATCAAGTCAGTCCGTCTAGCAACAGTCGCCCCAGTGACATCACAGGGGGCCACTTCCCCCTATCAAGTCGGTCCGTCTAGCAACAGTCGCCCCAGTGACATCACCGAGGGCCACTTCACCCTATCAAGTCAGTCCGTCTAGCAACAGTCGCCCCAGTGACATCACAGGGGGCCACTTCCCCCTATCAAGTCGGTCCGTCTAGCAACAGTCGCCCCAGTGACATCACCGAGGGCCACTTCACCCTATCAAGTCAGTCCGTCTAGCAACAGTCGCCCCAATGACATCACCGAGGGCCACTTCCCCCTATCAAGTCAGTCCGTCTAACAACAGTCGCCCCAGTGACATCACAGGGGGCGACTTCCCCCTATCAAGTCGGTCCGTCTAGCAACAATCGCCCCAGTGACATCACCGAGGGCCACTTCACCCTATCAAGTCAGTCCGTCTAGCAACAATCGCCCCAATGACATCACAGGGGGCCACTTCCCCCTATCAAGTCAGTCCGTCTAGCAACAGTCGCCCCAGTGACATCACAGGGGGCCACTTCCCCCTATCAAGTCGGTCCGTCTAGCAACAGTCGCCCCAGTGACATCACAGGGGGCCACTTCACCCTATCAAGTCAGTCCGTCTAGCAACAGTCGCCCCAGTGACATCACAGGGGGCCACTTCCCCCTATCAAGTCGGTCCGTCTAGCAACAGTCGCCCCAGTGACATCACCGAGGGCCACTTCACCCTATCAAGTCAGTCCGTCTAGCAACAGTCGCCCCAATGACATCACAGGGGGCCACTTCCCCCTATCAAGTCGGTCCGTCTAGCAACAGTCGCCCCAGTGACATCACTGAGGGCCACTTCACCCTATCAAGTCAGTCCGTCTAGCAACAGTCGCCCCAATGACATCACCGAGGGCCACTTCCCCCTATCAAGTCAGTCCGTCTAACAACAGTCGCCCCAGTGACATCACAGGGGGCGACTTCCCCCTATCAAGTCGGTCCGTCTAGCAACAATCGCCCCAGTGACATCACCGAGGGCCACTTCACCCTATCAAGTCAGTCCGTCTAGCAACAATCGCCCCAATGACATCACAGGGGGCCACTTCCCCCTATCAAGTCAGTCCGTCTAGCAACAGTCGCCCCAATGACATCACAGGGGGCCACTTCCCCCTATCAAGTCAGTCCGTCTAGCAACAGTCGCCCCAGTGACATCACAGGGGGCCACTTCCCCCTATCAAGTCGGTCCGTCTAGCAACAGTCGCCCCAGTGACATCACCGAGGGCCACTTCACCCTATCAAGTCAGTCCGTCTAACAACAGTCGCCCCAATGACATCACAGGGGGCCACTCCCCCTATCAAGTCAGTCCGTCTAGCAACAGTCGCCCAGTGACATCACCGAGGGCCACTTCACCCTATCAAGTCAGTCGGTCTAGCAACAGTCGCCCCAGTGACATCACAGGGGGCCACTTCCCCCTATCAAGTCGGTCCGTCTAGCAACAGTCGCCCCAGTGACATCACAGGGGGCCACTTCCCCCTATCAAGTCGGTCCGTCTAGCAACAGTCGCCCCAGTGACATCACCGAGGGCCACTTCACCCTATCAAGTCAGTCCGTCTAACAACAGTCGCCCCAATGACATCACAGGGGGCCACTTCCCCCTATCAAGTCGGTCCGTCTAGCAACAGTCGCCCCAGTGACATCACAGGGGGCCACTTCCCCCTATCAAGTCAGTCCGTCTAGCAACAGTCGCCCCAGTGACATCACCGAGGGCCACTTCACCCTATCAAGTCAGTCCGTCTAGCAACAGTCGCCCCAATGACATCACCGAGGGCCACTTCACCCTATCAAGTCAGTCCGTCTAACAACAGTCGCCCCAGTGACATCACAGGGGGCCACTTCCCCCTATCAAGTCGGTCCGTCTAGCAACAATCGCCCCAGTGACATCACAGAGGGCCACTTCACCCTATCAAGTCATTCCGTCTAGCAACAGTCGCCCCAGTGACATCACCGAGGGCCACTTCACCCTATCAAGTCGGTCCGTCTAGGAACAATCGCCCCAGTGACATCACAGAGGGCCACTTCACCCTATCAAGTCAGTCCATCTAGCAACAGTCACCCCAATGACATCACCGAGGGCCACTTCACCCTATCAAGTCAGTCCTTTGCATAGCATGTGCTGCCCCAATGATATCAGAGAGGGCCACTTCACCCTATCAAGTCAGTCATTCGTCTAGCAACTGCCACCCCAATGACATCAGAGAGGGCCACTTCACCCTATCCAGTCCTTCGCCTAGCAAAAGCCAGCCCAGTGGCATCACACAGGGCCACTTCACCCAGCGACAGCCAATCTGGGAACACTAGAGAGGGCCACTTCACCCTAGCAGCAGCCTTAGTGGTACAAATGGACATGCATACGTACATACTTTGAGATATATATATAGTTTCCCCCAATATAGTTTCCTCAACAAGTCCTGCCAAGTTCAGCAGATAGTCCAATTTGTTAATTCCAAACCATCGTAACAGGCGTACAAATCCCAAAAACATGTCAAGTGGTACAGATCGGATATGCATATAATCGGATGTACGTATGATCGGATACAGGTAGAGCTGCGGCCAAGGCTGTCCCCCCAGAGAGGAGGGGCAACCCGGGGGAACCACGTAC